TTGCCTTTTGGCTGCGTGCAAGTGGGTCCTTGTGACACACGGGGATGGGGGCAGCCAGCGCTCAACCTGTCATCCACGTGGCTGGCCTTGTACGTAAGACGAACAGGTGGAGCTTTCCTTACCTCTTCCCCCTCCCCCTTTTTTCCTTTTCCTTTTTTCTTTCCCCTTTTTTGCGCTCTGATTCACAATGTGACAATATATATATATTTTTCTGTTTGTGACGATATATGACGATATATATATATATTCTCTCTCTCTGCCTACGGTTTACCGGGCAGTTCTGTTTGTGACGATATATATACACTTCCGCCGATCCAGAGTAACATGTTTTCCTAATTAGGTGACATGTTCTACTAATTGCAATGAATGACGTGTCAGCTTTGAGGTATCGTAATACGAATCCAATTCATCTAAAATCCAATATATATCAAAAAAATAATTAAAAAAAAAAATCCAATATATCTATCTGGAGCTCAGGATCGTCCCGATGTATTTAAAATGTTAGACTCGTCCTAATGCAGCTTGTCCAAAAAGGCGTCCACATGCATGTAGAATGTTGAGTAGTGGAGCCAGGCCCTGTAATCGGTGTTTGGTGGCGGCGGCGGCGGCGGCGGCGGCGGCGGCGGCGGCGACGGCAGAGCGGGCTGCAGTTTGAGTAGTGAAGCCAGGCCTTTTAGATGAGGCAATTTTTTTGGTATCTGATGTTTCTCCTTTCTATAAGAGAAGGAGAGGGGTTCATTGGGACATCCGTTAAAACTGGAATGATACGGAGAGAGAGAAGATTAGCATATGGCCCCTGCGCAAGGGTCACACGCATCGATCGTTTAAAATGGTCCAAATTTGTAAAAGAAAAAGAAGAAAAAAAAGCGTAATACGCGCTCTAGTTATGTCAGTCCATGAGATTAATGTGTTTAAGAAGAGATGACAGGAGGTATGTGTTTGAGGGCATACTCGCCGCAGGACTTTTTTCTACTAAAGCTCTAGACGTGATCACGATCAGATTCATCCAGTGCTGGGCATGATTGCGGTCAGATACATTTAGGGGGAAAAGTGGTAGTGTGAGTATTCCCGGAGTCTTTGCGACGATGATTTGGCTATGATCGCCTGCTTCAGGAGGAGACAGCAGGACGACAGGTAATTGAATTGGTTGGGCTTAAAGAATTAGCCTTATTATAAAAAAAAAGTAAAAGTGTGTGTGTGTGTGTGTGGCCTACTTCGGCACATCTTGGCGGTCTTAAATTCTTTTACTTTCCTTTTCTGGATCTCCGTAATTGCCGTGAATTTGCCTTATTGTTGGCGACGTTCTCTCTGTTTGCGCGACCTGCAAAGGAGGGGGGTTTGCGAAACCCGCGCCGCTTTATTTATTGATTGCGTAAAATGAATCTCAACCAGCCAATTACAGGTTGCTGAAGGAAGGGTGAGAGCGGGGGGGGGCCGGGGGGGGCGCGGAGGGAAGGGAAAGGAATAGAGTGGGGAATAGGTTCCGGTCTTGTAGTATAAGACAGGAGAAAAGAAGATGAGGAAGAATCGGGACATGCACCCCGCTTTCGTAGACCCCCGTGTATGACGCGTACGCCATGTCACACTCTTCTTCCCTTCCTCTCTCTCTCTCTCGTCGTCTTTCTCTCTCTCTCTCTCTCTCTCTCTCTCTCTCTCTTCTGGCACCTTTTGTGAGCAGCGTGTGCTCTTCTTCGTTATCTTCTTCACGTGGGGATTCTCATGATGTGGATGCGACGTCATGTCGCCGCGCCACGATCGGTGATTCTTTCGAAGAGTAGAAACCAATCAAGGTGGAAGAAGTAGAATTGGATAAAGAAAAACGTACAATTATGAACAGAGAACGTGCGATCGAGAGAAGAGCACTACACTTCGCGGAAAAAGAACTTGGGAAATCATTAATGATGTGTCGGGGATAAATGAGAGAGTCATCAATTAAGAAAAGTGGCAAGCAGATCAATCGTATCTACGTTAATCAAGATCGATCAATCAATCAATCAATCAATCAATCAATCAATCAGTGAGTAGATCAATCAGTAGGTTAATTAATCAGTCGATTAATCGGTAAATGAATTGGTCGACCAATTGATCGATGGATCAAGGTAGGGAGGTGGGCTGCATGTAAAGAGCATCAGATGGTTCGAATTACGGAAGAGAACGCTGATTCCGGCGCTGTGCGACTTGAAACATAGCAACGCAGAGGGAAAGAAGGGAAGGAGGTGAGGAATAGGAATAGGGAGAAGAGGATCAGTGCTGATCTGCAACGACGGCACGGTGGCTCAGTTAATCGACGAGGAGGTAATCAATCGAGCAGATTAATTCTAGATTGGTCGACTAATTGGTTTGATTGATTGATGGAGTGTCTACAGGTTTTGATAACTCCCCTTCTGGTGATCTCTCTAGACGATAGCAATCTTGAGCAGAGTTTCAGCCGGCCTGAGGTCTTGTCTCGGTCCTGAAGTTGACCTCCTTCTCCCCTTTTCTCTCCCCCCCCTTTCCCTCCCTTCCCATCCCTTCCCCTCCCTCCCCCTCCTCCCTCCCTTCCTCCCCCTCCCTTCCCCCCTTTCCTCCCTTTCCC